TTTTTTTTTTTTTTTTTTTTTTTTTTTTTTTTTTTTTTTTTTTTTTTCAATGATGAGGAATTTAGGACTAAAATAACTACCATGGATTGAATAAGAAATATGTGGCAGGATGGCAGTCTAATAGCCTAGCCCTGTGGTAATCCTTTATTGAAAAGTTGTCGTACTGTTTTGAAAATAAGAATGGTTACTTGGGGCTTTATGGCTGTATTTTTGCCCTTGTAATAACAAGAAGTGTTAATAATTTTCAAGATATTCTGTAGGCTACATTTATTCATTAAATAACTGAACCCAAAAGAAAACTTAAAACAGGATACTTCTTACCCATACAAATCATGTAGGTAGTAAGGGGGGGGGGGGGGGGATATTAACCTGCTCTAACTAGTGCAGAGTTGATTTTTATAGCCCAGTATGAGAGCAATACTTTGTTCCAGCTTTGATGTGTGCTATGGGCTATAGAAATGAAAAAAAATTTAAAAAAAAAAAAAAAAAACCTGAATGCATAAATGCTTCTTAACATAAAAATCTAAATAGGAAATGTTTCTCTTATATTTTGCCAGGAGGAAATGGGAAGAGTACAAACTCAAAAAACTGATAACTGTATTGGCTGCTCTTTCATTTGTGTGATCCCTACGAAGCATAGTCTCTTGTACTGTTTGAAAGCATAAGGATCTCAGCAGTAATTTAGTGGAAAAATATGAATTTATTTATATTTACATTTTTAAATCAACTGTATGATTTAGATAGCTTGGATACAAGCAAACAAGGTATTTCAAAAATTAATTTGCATATATGACTGGTAGCAAAGGCATTTAAAAAGCTCATTTAGTTTTCATTAATGTTCACAGTCATTTTGTTTTTGTATATATACTATTAATATGCCTTCAGTTTAAATGTTCTTTTCTAATATCTTGAAACCAGAAGCTCTTGTTATCACTATCCTTTGGAGTAATATACTAAACCTCTGTGATTTAATTATTTCTTAGTTCTTTTTAGTTTTCCTTTAAAACAGCAGAATAAGGTAGAGACAGTAGCCTTCCAGGAGCACATATCAATCTCAAAACTTTAAAATCTTTTTGTGAGATTGACACTCTTGAATACTACAGTTGTGGGTATGTTTAGCGTTTGTTTTTCCTCTAATGAAGAATCGCTTCATTTTACTGTGGAAGGAAATGTTTTTACTCCATGGTTTTGCAACTATAATACTCCATTGTTTAAATTTGGAAGACAGTGTATACTGCACAGTATTTGTTCCATCATTTAAAACATTTAAAGTACTCATGGGAGAAGCAGTTAGTTTTTGGCAATGTTTAAGTATGTTTTTTCAAGAAAGAAGGAAACTTTAAAACATTTAAGGATAGTTATGGGGACTGACTTGTGACCTGTGAATTGGACTCATTTCTTTTATTTTTACTGTCCATTATTGTTCTCAGAAGTATATTTAGGGAGCCACTGGTAGTGTTTGAATTCATTGCTTTCTAGAGGAAATACGAAAAACAGGATTTGAACATGTGAACATACCAGATTTAGTGACACTTGCTAAGAAAGTGTGTTATTCAAGTTAGATCTTCATTCTGTAATGAATTAGAATGTTCTGCTTTCCAAGATTGCTCATTGGTATCAGTTGCTAAGTTATTTCTACTCTTACAAACCTGCTGTATAGCAACATCAGCAGCAAATGGCATCAGCATTTCAGCGCAGGTGCTTTCATTTCAGTATGTGGTAAAGCAATTACTGTGTCATACATATTGCTTTGAGTAGTCCTTAAAATGCTCTAGGATTCATATGGATAAAAGGCACTGTGTAATGTAAACAATATTCTCCCTGGGAAATAATTACTTAAAGCTACCTCAGTTACCATGCTCTAAAGGGAAAACTGTACTTATTGCGATTATGCAATGGTAAGACATAGAGCATTGGGTTTCAAAATCAGGGAAGTCAGATAACATTTACTTTATTTGTATTTTTCATAGCAATGAATTTGCAATTGTAACTATGACAAGCATACCTAAATACTTCCAGAAGTCCCCTCCACTTCAACTGTATCAACCAAAGGGAACTAAAGAAGAACTAAGATCTCAATCATCTACCAAATATGAAGGCAGGAACTTCCTATTCTTGAATTTACAAACTCTCCCACGTAATATGGTTCTGTAGAAACCTGAAGGGTTAGGCAGATATACTTATTGCTTTCCAACACATGGGTCTCTGCTCCTTTCACCTTGCAATTTGTACTCTTCTATGAACCATTAGAATATTTTAAGGATGAATTTCAACCAGAAAAACAGGTAGCATTAAGCTGCTTTCTTATCAACCTCGTAGTACACAGCAGCTATTTTCTTGCCGTCTGAACTGTAAAAGGACTAAATCTGTCAGAATTCCTTTATTCAGTAATCCATCTGGTAGTATCTAGAGACCAGAGGAAGTCTGTTTGGTATCTGCATTGGATGCTCTCAGTGCTTTCTACCAGGCCTTGTTAAACACTTGATAATGAAAAAGAGCACAGAGAAAAATAAAAACTTGTACCTTTCCACTGAGACTTTCTCTCAAGAAAATGGGGCTATTCCCATAAACAGAGGGATCAACCTTCCTTCATTTGTGCATTGGTTATTTGCTAATTCACTCATACAAAAAAATCATATTCTTTTCAATGTCTGAACAGTTCGATTCAAAGAAGAAAAGATTCCACTGAAGCAATATTAAGCAGCCAAGTTGAGTTAAGTTTGTGATACAGACTGAATGGCTGCATTTAATGCTTGTGAGATCTTTTTGTCTCAGCTGTCCTGAACTCTTCTGCATTTTCTCTGGGAGTATTTGGCAGCTATAATCAATACATTCTTCCAGACTGTAGCAGCTTGTGTAGGTCTAATGCTTGTTTTCAGTCTTTCGTATATTTTTTCAATTTAAGAAGCTTTTCCTTCTTAAGGCCTCAGTCATTAAGAACCCTAATGAGGCCAGTAGCCTCCAGTTTCTTACTATTCTTTGTACTAAAAACACTTGTAATACTAGCTTCAGTAAACAAAAGAGTGGGAAATGCATCATTTCTTGTAAAATAGATACAATTGAAGTAAGGTGGATTACTTGGGCTGCAACAATTTCTAGACCTTCTGTGAGATGATAATGCTTGACAGAAGCATCCAAATTGGATGTATAATAGTTATGTGACATAAAACATTTTATTTAATTTCGGCAGCCCCAGGTCTGCCCAGATCTTGTTGAAAAGTCAACTAGACTGCATGTCCTGGAAATCTGGCTTGTCTATGTTTTCCATCATCAAACCAAACAATGTTGCTTTATGAAAATGTGACCTTGAAAGGTATGTTACTGAATTCCTCTTTTTACCATGCCACAAACGGGCAACGACAGTTATTAATTCCTTTGTATTTTTCACGGGTGTCACAAAGAATCTGAAGTCTGCTTATGTGGTTTATAATGTCACAGAATTCATGAAAAAAAATTATTTCTTTAAAAGTGACTGCAGCTCATCTGTTATTCTACATATAGCTTTCACAATAGCAACCATCTGCTAAAAGCCAGTCCATTCCCCTCTTCTTTTTTTCCCTTCATCTCATCAAATTAGAGTATGATTTCATATACATATGTTTGGAATACTGCTAACAAAGCCAAAATGATCTCCAAAAGCCACTGAAGGAACTTTGTAGTAAGTTCTGAGATACTGTTTAGCAGATTTTGTTTGGCTTTTTCTATTTTCAAATTTCCTAAACGCCTGAATCACGATAGTCAAAAATTCCATATATGACTGTAAAAATATTTTAAAATGTCCTTAATTTTGGACTGAAAACACTGACGTTTGTGTTGCTTTGTGCTTTTCATGTACTCTTATAGTAAAACAGGTATTCAGTAAAATATTGTTTCCTTCAAGATTACACTGTGGTAAAGCAACAGTGTTTGCTCTGATACTGGAAAGTATATGCAAGAGATTTTTGAGGTCATGCAGCCCAATCTCTTTATTGACATGCTCAGGGCTCATCTGTGTCTGCTGAAATTGAATGAACTGTTGTCTGTTTAAATTTGTGCCTTGCACTTCCTGTGAGGGTTCTTTATGGTTCTGTTATATGAGAACAGCAAAATGGAGATACACATTTTTACAGTTCATTTCTACCAGTGCATTGTTTAAAGCATGATACTACTATGAAGAAGGACTGTATTAAAATAACAGTTTAGAATTCTAGGCAGTGACTTTCTAATCAGCTTCATTCATTTTACATTCAAAAAAAAAAAATATTGAGAAGAAAACAATGGAGTATTTAATGACCAATCCATCATAACCTACTTTTATTATGAAAAATCAAGTTGTGTTTCGCCATAGACAATGAATTCCTAATAGTGCAAATGTTGTACTGAGCTAACATTTGGAATTCTGAAACTTCATGTTCAGACCTGTTTTCTTTTTTTTTAACTTCTTTCCCTTCTGCTGGGGTTAAACAGGTATTACTAAAAGTATATATTGAAATACATGAGTTTTTACTGCACAGTGAAACTGAAGAATGCTTGTTCTGAAGTATGATCTTCTGTTTCTTGAATACATTTAGCAGCTTTTCCTCATCTCCTATGTTTCCAAAGCTAGACTCATACTGATATTTAGTCTGGCTTAGGCTTGTCTGTGCTGCAGTGTGACTCGTGCAATGATTGTGGTGAAATATCCTTAAATTTTAATTTTCCTGAGATTTCAGAGCTGGAAAAATAGAATATCCAATCCAGTTTTGCAGAGCTGCAAATAGTAAAATCAAAGCTCTCATAGTAAAATAAATAAATCAGAATTGTTGTACAGACTGTATTTTACCTATTCTTAGGAGAGCTTTCTTGCTTTTCAAACTTCATGGGCCTGTAACTTTCTCTGAACCTGTTTATTTTTGTTTCCATGCATCACCCACTGCCCCTTTGTTCGTTTGGCTTTGTCCCTGAAGGCATCATATCATGTAGCTGTATTCTAATATGCTATACAGGATTATGAAACAATCCTTAGAAATCTGGAAGTAGAGCCAGTGGTTTGCCTTTTTTATTCCAAAATTCCTTATCTGTATTAACTAAACAACCAAAACTTTTCTGCTGAGTTTTACCCTGCTAGGAAATACAGCTAAGACTGTAATTTTATTACAGATGTTTAAGCTTGCAGCATTAATAAAATTATTCCTGGTCACTACCTACTTGTTCATACACTCTGTGCTGCCATTTTCAATTATTCTTGTACAAGTGCTTTGTACATCTGCACTGTGATTGCTACAAGAAGCTGATTCAGGTGGTTTACAGGCATTTATTTTTTTTAACTGGATCAGTTCCCAGTACCAGTTCAGTTATGCTGGTGCTGTAGAGGAGCAGCAAGCTGCACCAGGGCTGGAGATAGGTGCTGGAAAATTGAACTATAGTTGATTCAACCAAAAGGTAATAGCTATTCCTATTACTAGGAATGTTCAGCTTGCAGTTTTTCTGTTAAGAGCTGTTTTTATCAAATTAACAAAAAAATCTTCAACGTGTTGCTGGCAAGCTATTTGAACATCTAGCATGCTTCATATCAAAGCAGAGTGTAGGGGAAAAAGAAGTAATGTGTTGGCAAATGTATATTGAATCCCTAGATATGACTGGAAAATAGTTGCTCCAGTATAACAGAAATAACATGCAGACAAGAGATCAAATTGTAGAATTTAATCAGGACTTTTTAGACTTTTTTTTAATTTAGTTGTTAACCGAAAATAAAGTTATTAATTTACTTTGCTACCTTTTTTTTTGCAAGTCAAATATTTATATCATGATAACAATGCTGCTTTGCTTGTAAGAGTTTATAAATAAAAATGATTTGTGTAGCAAATCTTTAATCTCAGTACATATTCAAATATGCAATTTGCAAATCCATTTGCCATTTATAAAATGAGCATAATAAGAATTCTTTTTATATTTCTAACAGCAGATACAACTAAAAGTTTTTAGATGCTATTATTAAAAGGAAGATGCATGTGTGATGGTATCTGATCACTTGAATATAAAAATAAATATGTGGGTGTTGCTTTAAGTTTTGTTCCCCATCCTAAATGTATTGGGAAACTAAAGAAAGCAAGGAGTCTAAAAAGTGGCCAATAATTTCCATATGTCTAACTAAAGAAGTATGCCAGGAACTATATAAATACGTATCTGAAATTTGAACTAGATGGACTCTGGAGGTTCCAGTCCTTATAATTCTGTGACTCTTTAATACATATATATATTCAAAGCTAAACCTTTTGTCAAAATTCAGTCATAATATGTAAACTTGTGAGTTGGCAAAGTTAATTTTTTTTTTTTTTGAAAAAATGAAAATTTTAGTCTAAAGTTTTACAGAAAATTCTATTCTTAACTATGCTGATATCTAGCAAAATGGTTAAAATGAACTAATTCTGGTAATGAGATTGGAAACTAGAAGCCAGGTTTTGTGCAAAGCCAGTAGAATATGGAAAGGGTTGGCTGCTTGGGAGGAATATAGAAGTGAAGTTTGTGTGCACAGATGTGACCAGGAAAGCTAAGGCCTGCTTGGAATCAAATCTAGCAAGGGTGATCAAGGACAACTCAAAGGTGGTCTTTAAGTATGTGAAGAGCAAAACGAAGACTAAGGAAAATTCTGATTTATGAATAGTAGGGAATTTTTATGTCTGACAGTTTTATAGAATGGAGTTTTAACAAACAAGCTTAACTGTTTTCTGTATCTCTTCAGATGTGTTCATTATGCATATTAGCTTTCAAAGAATATTTAACATTCGAACCTGTTTGAATATAAGAAAACAGAACAAGAAGGAGGGGAGGGAAGAGCTGTTCACAATGATATCAGGGCAAAAGATAACTTGGTGATCAGGAATTATTAAACTGCTCTGTGATCTGTATGTCCTTTACTAGTAGCATTCCTTAGTATAGTAAGGCCAGCTGCTTTGCTGATGTCCTCAGTATTAGTATCTCAGAAGGAACAGAAACATAACTGCTCGCTTGCAGTACAGTTTGTCTCAACTAAAATTATCCAAGCACTTGACTGGAAAGTGAGTGGGTAAACCCTCCTGGTTTCTTCTTGCGTGGATATTATAGGTGAAATAGCTCATGAATTAGATAATTACAATTTCCTAATTTTAAAGATATGAAAAGCAAAATGGATATATTAAATAAGCATTAAATACTCTCAATTTTCTTTTGTTGTAGACCCCAATGAACCAAGCCTCAACTCGATCTCACTGCATTTTCACTATTCACATCTCTAGCAAGGAACCTGGATCTCCAACTATCCGACATTCGAAGTTGCACTTAGTAGACCTTGCAGGATCAGAGCGTGTTGCAAAGACTGGAGTTGGAGGTCATTTATTGACGGAAGCCAAATATATCAACTTGTCACTGCATTATTTAGAGCAGGTAAAGTTCAAACAGCATGAAGCTGTTTACTTTTACTGCAATTCCAGTGAACAATGTTCAGTGTGTTTTTAATATTGGTTTCCATATTCAGTTGATCAAGACTGTATTTGCTGCAGTTTTTAAAAGTGTTTGAGTTGACCATTCCTTATCTGAAATAAAATTCTGATTTATCTAAATCTTAGTAATTAAAACACAGGGCTGCATTAGCTATACAAGCAAGAAGAGGGACTCTTGAGCATAACATATAATAACTGATGGTAAGTCTCAAATCTTATTTTTTGCTTAATGCTTTTCCTAAATTTTTCAGTGAAGCTAAGCTATATGTGAGTGACTGTAACTTCTCTCTGCTGTTATGCTTCATTAAAGGTGCAATTTTACAAAAAGTGATGCTATATCTGATAACTTTCAGGTTTAGCAGATTAATGAGGTCTCAAGTTAGTTTATTTCACTTGGTTGAAATGAAACTCTCTGCCTTAAACTGTGATTTAAATAATCATATTGCAGTCCTGGTTCAGTAATATTATTAAGGTCTGTTAAGATCAGACCTAACAATATCAAAAATAATAATAATCTTTCTATAATACAATGATAATGAATGTCCTTTTAAATCATGTCAGAATAAGCCAATTATTTGGTTATCACGCCTTGCTGGCTGTTAGAAGATTCAGGTCAGTTCTGGATTCTGGATAATGTACGCTGGTCTCTGTCACTTGGTTAAAGAACATAATTTCCTTATCCTTTATATTTGTCCACCTTTCTTTTACAGGTTTCTTGACTGGATTGTGAAATTGATTTAGGTGAGGTTTTACCTGAGGGACTTAATGCCATCGTCTCCCGAGTTATGTGACTCTTGTATGTGACAGAGGCTTCAGCATCATGAGAGATAGTTATGTAGATTTTCAGCACAGTGTTGGAAAGCTCAAATTCTTCCTGAGCTTCAGACTTCCTGCACAAACTTCAGCAAAAATTGAACTTCTTTGTAACATAGTTGCTGTTATTAGCAGAAATAAGATATCTTCCCTCTGGCTCTTATCGTATCTTACCAATTTGGATTGTCATCTCCGTACAGAAGAATCTGAGAGTATACTTATTTAATATATTCTCTATATTAGTGTAAGTTAATACCATATGTATGTTAGTTTGGAATATTACTTAGTATGTAAGATAGTATCTTTTCATCTAATGAGCTGTTGTACACAAGATTTTTAAACCTGGATCCAGGAAACTGTATTCAGATTCCTTTACGCGATAATAATTTTCATATTATCATCGACTCCCCCGAGGACTGCTGGCATAAGATTTATAGTAATAAGAAATTCGACCTTTTTGAAGGCTTCTAAGATAAAGGAGCCAACAAAAATATTAGTACTAAATTTTCTAAAGCAACAATTTTTCTTTTTGTATTAAAAAAATGTATGGAGCTATAGAACGTTCACTGAAGGAAAACCAACTCCTAGCCACTTACAATAGCTTGCACAACTCATGTAACTACAGTTGTTTTTTTTTTGTTTTTTTTTTTTAAGTACAGTGCTTGGGCAGCTGTCAGTTCAAATCTTTTACCCCACGATCTGTTGAAATAAAATTTAGCTTTTTTTTAATTATGATCAGGTCCCATAATGTAAAACGCTGAGAATAGAAGCTGAGAATGTTAGGTGTATCATTTCCTTTTTGGCCAAGACATATATGCCAAACAGTGTTGTTGTTTTTCTCTGGTGGTACACTGTAGTAGTGCACTCTTAATAGCGTATGCATTTTTCAAGGCACTTTCTTGGAAATCAGTGGACTGATCTCTCTAAGAACCGTGTGCTTTAAGATTGTGTCATTTAAAAGTGTGCTTCAGCCAATGTTAGGGAAGTTTCTACATGAATACTATTCATATTTTACTTTAATATTATTCTAGGATAAAGGTATCTTCAGTAAGTTATTACATCTTAGGAAAATATGTTATTTTTATGTTATGTTCAGTTTCCATACTGCTGAGTGACTGTAAAGCTAGGATGTAATAACATTAGCTATATTTGGCTTTTAGGTTCAGTGCCTACAAAGATGCAGACACAATGAATTGAAGAACAATGAAGTGAAAGTTATACCAATAAAATCAGAGTTTTTCAGCTAACTGGATGCATAGTTGTAACTTCTACTGTATTAGAAGTTTCAGTTGCTAAACAGGTTGTTTTTCTTCTCTTCATATGTCAGTTATTGATAGGTAAATTTGAATGCTTTTTCTATTTCTACTGTTGTTCCAGGTAATAATTGCACTTGCAGAGAAAAACAGATCCCACATTCCCTATCGAAACTCCATGATGACCTCAGTGCTAAGGGACAGTCTGGGAGGAAACTGCATGACCACAATGATTGCAACTCTCTCTTTAGACAAAAGAAACATAGAGGTTTGTTTGTTATTTCTATATATTTAAAAAAAAAAAAAAAGTTTTCAGTTAAGAAAATATCCTCATCTTTTGACTTTTATTACAGTTTGAAATTCAAGCGTATATACTTTCATTCTCATCCTTACAAAAGGAAAGTTAAACATTATTTCTACGTTACTACAAAATTACTTTGATTCTGTGATACCATTTTGTACCTATAGTGATGTTCTCTTAATGTTTAATTTTTAGATTTGTAAACTCTTACATTTATCCTTACAATAGCAAGACCCAGAAAACTTTATCATACAGCTGATTAAACATGACTGTAACCCCTGGCTAATGGAGGTCAGTTTTTTGGTTTTTATTCATTAGGGATGTATATTTATTTTTTTTTGTTCTGGCATGTAAGTATTAGCTGATCTCAAAGGAGGGAACAATACTTAAGGCTGCAGTTTCACTCCATGTGCTGGATGGGAGTACTCATGCACCACAAAAAGAAACTTAGTTCAGCAAGGTCATCAGCAGTCTGCTATAGTTGCATGGTGTTAAGATAACCGAGATTTTTTCTTTTTCTAGGAATCTATATCAACTTGCAGATTTGCACAACGAGTTGCTCTTATTAAAAATGAAGCAGTTCTTAATGAAGAAACTGACCCCAAATTGGTGAGAAATGTTTAGGGGCAGAGGGAAGGAGACTGCTTAGTTCTAATTTTAATGATTAATACCAATCACGTGGGTTTTTTTGTTGCAAGTTTCAGTCTTTTCTTTAAAACGACTACTATTCTTAGTTTTCCTTTCGGAGCTGATTATAATTAAACTAAGATAAAACCCCTAAAGGCTTTCTGAATGGTGATATTCATTGTAATCTTTTTATTGCTTCATTTAAATTTGTAGTTTCTAAATCATGGCCACACATGATCGGATGTCCCTAGAATTCTTTAAAAAAATACCAAAATTACTTGTCACTTGGGGATCATATTTTTTTTTTCCTTTACTTACTTGCACATTACCTTGGATTAAAGACTTTAATGTGTTAATTATTTTCCCAATAGTGTTTTCCATGTGGTCAACCACTAAAATTGTCATAGAAGTATTGCTTGTTTGAGTTAACTTGAAAACAGCTAGCAATATAGGTATGAACACACAGGGCTGTACAGTGTAGATGCCCCTGATTTTTCTCATTTGAGGTTTGTGGCAGTTTCAAACTTTTAGCAGCACTGGTGTTCTTCTAGGGGTTAGTCTGTGACAATACCATCATGTCAGCTATGCTTCTAACCTAGCTTTGTCCTTAGTGTCTGTGGAAGTTTCATGGAAGAAGCTGATTTTCAGTATCGTGTTTAGGTGACTCAGTATCTTTAATACCATGCTACACCAATTGAATTGGTCTGATGTCAGCGTTTCTCCAAATAAATTCTTCCTGTTAGTTGGTCTTGAAACTTAAATATTACGTAGAAAGCAAGAATGAATTATTCTCCAGACCCTTTTCTCTCCTTTGCTTTACCTTTCTCAAGAACACTGTAGCCTTGTTTGTTTTCTTTTTTTGTTGTTTAAAAAATCAATAGAATGAATTTTACTTAACACAGAACTGCTTCTCACTTTTCTCTATTTGTCATTGTCTATAAATAACTTAAAAAAAAAAAAAATAGTTGGGAAGAAGAAAATATGTTCTTCCCAGAAGATAAAAATTTTGTGAAGTCATTTGAATTTAAGTTTTTACTTCAGTAGGTGCTTTGAGATCAAACAATTCCATATGTAACCCCTACATTACAATTCTCTTTTTTTTAATAATGACAGTGCATTAGGGAGACAATATACCAACATTAGCACAACTATATTTTTGTAATGAGGAAAACAGTGAGAGTGATTTCAGTTGAGTCTGGATGTGTTACCATTTTGGTAACACTTTTTTGATATCTTTGAACTTTATTTATTGCACTTGCTAATATTTTAGGTTTTGTTCCTTAGGAAGTATTTGGAATGGATGCAATTAATATGGCTTTGATATTATAATACATACTTTATGAAACTTAACCTATAGGTGATTGATGGTTCTTGTAGTTGGTTCTGTAAATAACTTTTTTTCCTCATGCTTTAAGGTATTTGTAGCTGCTCTATGTTAAGCACTTTTGAAATTAGGATACTCAGTCTGTCCTTCAGAGTATGTTTAGCACATTATAGGGTTGAAGTAAATGGGACATCTCTGGCATAGCAAGCAGCATGATGTATGATCTGGCATGGTGGATTTTAACCATCCTAAAACATGATGAAGGGCAATACACTTTGGTGCAAGTAATCCAGCAATTTATTGATTATAGTTCCCTAACAAATATAGAGTTAAGAAAGCCAAAGCACAGCTGAAGGTAAAACCAGCAAGAAATGTAAAGAGCAAGTAGAAGGTCTTGTATAAATAAATTGACATCAGTGAAGCTCAGTAGAGCTGAAGCTGTGCTGCAAAGCAGAATAAAGGAATCTCGTTACTGACTATGTTTCCCTAGTAGGTGAGAGTATAGATAAGACAAAGCAAGAATTTGAATTATATGCTATGGTGGGCCAACAGGCAATGGATACATGTTGAAACTACATTTTAATTACACATTTGGGGGAAAAAAAATAGCGAACGTGTTACATAACCCCTATATATGTGGTTAAATATTTAATTAGGTTCTCCAAGAAGACTATGGAATTTCAATCCTTAGAGGTAACCAACATGCAGATGAACGTGGCCCTGAGCAATGTGTCATATTTAGCCCTGTTTTGAGTTAGGATTCAACTAGCAGCTCTTGTCATATAATCATGTTATACACTCTAACTACATGCCGACTATTTTATCTTGCTTTTTGTCTATCAAAAATTAAAAATCTGCATTAAAAAACGTTTGCAACAAGGTTATTCTATGAAAATTTAGCTGTGGCATCATCTCTTTTTTTTTTTTTTTAGTTTTTTTCGAGTATCATTATTAATTGGTTATTTAAGACTTTCTAAGTACTTTTTTCAGAATATGCTTTTGTTTTTACAAATTTCATAATAGAACTGTAAATCAGGAAGTCTACTGTTAAATCATTCATAGAACCCTTCCATAGTTGAGGTCTATAGAAATAAGGCAAGCTGGAACAGTTTATGTATTAAAAAGCTAAGAATCATACAGGTACAATTCCTCCTTGAGCTTGCTCAAGGATTTAGAAAGGGCAGGAAAGGACAGAGGAAGTAATTTACATTGATAAAGCACAAAGCACTGCCACATTAAAAAAGAAAAAAAAATAGTATGTGTAACAAAAATTTGCTTTATTTTCTTTTTAACAATTGCTTAGTCTTTTGAAGTATTTTATATGCTTCTAACTTTCTATATGCTGGATGTGTTTGAAGATGTAGGAAAGCTTTTTGTTAAGGACCATATTTATAAGACTTAGGTTTGATGTAATTTTCTGCATTATGTGAAATTTTTTCTTTGAAGTATTAAATACGTTTACTAAGGATTGGTCAATTCAGCATGCTATGGCAGATAACAATATGCTATTGGGTTAGCTGGGTTGCATGATGTATGCCAAGGGTGTTATGATAAGAGAGATCTGTGAGAGAGGGTACGTTTATCATTCCGAAGCTGTATATATGGACATAATGAAGAACTAGAGATGGATTTCAGCATTATCTCTAAGACAGAGAGATGTATGATGAAAAAATGAGTTCAGGGTTTGTTTGCTTAACTTTGCTTTCCAAGAGCATGAGAGCAACAACAACAACAAAAAAGAAGGCAACGAGCATATCTTTCTGTCTGTTGTTTCTTTCTTTGCTTTATAATAGCTAATCATGAAAAACTGTCCTTCCATGGTCACACAAGTCTTTGATTGAATTGGAACACATGCAGGCTCCTGACCATTTACTACATCCTGTAGAGCTATATTCCACAAGTTTGGTATGTTTTGCTCTGCTGGATCATTTAGCAAGTAAAGCAAAAGTGGACTCAGGAGGATTACAAATCCAACCCCTCTTGTGGAAAAGGCAGGAGAACATAGATATCTAGATTTTATGCGACTATGTGCTCACTGTGGAATTTGTTGCCCACCTTAACTACCTGTAGCATATTCCCAGGGATCTTGTCCAAATGTCTGCTCTTGCAGGACTCTGTAGAGCTGATTGCCAAGGACAATGTCCAGAAGTCTTTTGACCATCTATGCACTCATATCCATCTAAAAAAATTACTGAAGTTCTGATACATTTGAGCCATTGTAAAGTAATGCATTCTTAAAATAATCAGTCTCCAAGCAACCAAAAAAAACTTGTTCATTCATACTTTAGGTTTGCATATTGTTTCTGTTTTGTGGAATTTGACTTTGGAATGGCAATGATTTCCAAAATATACTTTCATACAACTTTCTTTCCAAAAGTACAGCCTCCAGTAATCAGCTATTCAGAGATCTTTTGCAGTTCATGTCAATTCTACCATCGTTACTATTCATAATTCCATTTTCATTATGTTGATTTATAGTATTCTTTAGTAGTTAGCAACTGATACTTTGTATAGATAAAGTATGCTTTAATAAGTTACCATTGGATTATTACATATAAGATTAAAATACTAAGATACTATTTTGGAATTCCTGATTTCTAAAGGGAAGGGGAACATTGTTTTTGGTATGTAGTTCTCTTTCTGACAGACATCAGTTCCATTTTAAGTCTGTTTTCATCACTAGCAAGCAAAACTAAATTTTTTGCTCACTTTCCTCTTACGGCAAATTATTTTTCTTTCTGTACAGCCGTATCTTCTAACAGGAAGCTTACTGAGTCTGGATGACTTGGATAAATTTCCTTGTACTTGGGTATATTTAAGGTGTTTGGGCTGTTCTTAAAGAGAAAAGAGATTACTTTGCTTTTCTTCTTTATTTCAAGCAAATATTCCCTAACATCTACTTTCTAGTATAAAAATCATAACCTAACTAATCATTTTTAGGTGATGCTTGTTTTATGCTTTGTTGTTTGTAGATGATTATTCAGCTGAAAAGGGAGATCCAAGAGTTGAAAGATGAGCTGGCACTGGTGACTGGCATGCAAAGAACATCACAGCTTTCACAAGAAGAGCTACTTCAGTAATGCCTTACATTTTAATTTTCTTTTGTGTTAACAGTTTTAATCGGTTTCTTTGGTATAAATGTTTAAATCCATCTCAGTGTTCAAGTTCTCAGAGTGAGTACTAAAGTGAGTTTATGTGCCAAGTTAGAATGACAGTTTGCCATGAAAATCTGTATGAGGCTGTGCTTTTGCAGCCTCAGGTTTGAGAAACTGAAATAAACTAAATGCAAGGAATGGGAATGCCTATCAGATGCCAGACAAAAAAAGTGTTGTATAATAGTGTAGAATAACAAAAACAAACTTTCTGAAAGTTGGATATCTGATTGGATATCTGATCTAAGAAAAATTAAAGAAGTGTTCCTGTTAAGAACTATCCTACTGCAGTGTTACTTTGACATATGTCAAGATAAAGCTTGTGTTTCTATTAGAAAAATAATGCCTTAAAAGACAAATATTTAATTTTTTTTACTGAATATGCTATTGATAATGCATGAGTGTTGTAATATCTTGCAGTTTTTTAGTAAAGAATTATTTTTGGAGCGATAAGCTTAAATATTTTTACATTGCACACCAAATTCTTATATTCCATATAATTCTCTTATAAGAATTTGGTGTGCAATGTAAAAATATTTAAGCTTATCGCTCCAAAAATAATGCCTCCTATTTATTTCCATAGGAACTACAACAGAGAGAGAATAATGCCATGACTTGATAAAACAAATTCTCAGCTACAAAATCTTTTTCATCATAGTCACTACCATTACCTATGAATTTTTATCACTGAACAAAAAAGCCTGCATGCTGCACTCAAAAATCTACACCAGTGGAGGTGCTGAAACATCACCCGCTACCTCACTGTGCTCATATCCACTGCTTAATCTCCATAAATGTTCACCAAGCATTGATGAATGTCAAAAGGTGCCATTTTTCCATGTGGAGAAATTCAGTTTCATACCTGCTTCATACTAACTTCCATGTCAGACACCATTTTTGTCAGACTGCCCCCCTGTTGCCACCTGTTGCACAGCAACAAAATGTAATAATATTGGTGGGAAGGTTCAACCTCCTATTACTGTACCACTTCCATCCCCCCTCTGATGTTGGGGGCTAGCATAATAACACAGGAGGCATTACTTTTGGAGCAACATCTAGGTATAAAATTTCAAAATGGCTATACTCAATTCCCAGTTCTGAAAAACTGATTCTGTGGAATGAATCTATTTGATATGAATATATTTGTATAAAGCAGTAGTAACTGATTTGGGATTGTTAAGTTTGATGTAGAAGCTGAAAACTTGATTGGTTTTGATTTCATCTGGAAACGGCCCAGAAGAATACTGTAAGTACTATCCAGGAGATTCTGGAGACCTGCAGAATTCTGCCTTATTGGAAGTTGTTACTCTTCATTGTCTTGTTTTGATTTGATTGGTTTTAATTCTGGAATGAAATTATATTCTTGTGAAGGGTGAGAAGACGGATAGCATTATACAAATATTTCTTTTAAAAAATCTGTTTTCAACACAAGCAGTTACCAATATAATCTTCCAACTAGAGAAGTCCACACAATTCCTACTGGTTAATGATGCAGTGGTTAGGTAGTACTGGATGTGTCCAAGGCATAGAAAGGAAATAAGAGATACAATAAGGATCAGAGTAGTGTTTTTCCTTTGTCTTTCTCTTTCTTTCTTTCTCTTCTTCTTTTTTTTTTTTTTCTTTTTCGACAAGAGATTGAATAGAGATGAATTTGAAGAGTTGACTATTTAGTATGTTAAAAAAAAAAAAAAAAAATTGAATGGTGTCAGCCTGAGAGTTGTGGTCAGTGGTACTATATCTAAGTGGAGGGCTGTGTGGCAGTGTCAAGCAGTTAACCCCAGGAGTGTCTGCCCTGGGACCAGTGTTCTTTAACATCTTTATTGGTGATCTGGATAGTGAGATTGAGTGCCCCCTCAGCAGGTTTCCCGATGACACAAAGCTGAGAGGTGCTGCTGAGACAACGGAAGAAAGAGATGCCATCCAAAGAGACCTGGTCAAACTTTGAAAAGTGGGCCCGTGTGAACCTAATGAGATTCAGTTAGGCTGAGCGCAAGGTGTTGCACTAGGGTTGGGGCAATGTCAGGTATGTGTACAAGACAGGGAGAAGAACTCATTGAGATTAGCTCTGTGAAAGATTTGGGCGTTCTGATGGATGAAAAAGTGTGTGACTGCAGTCTGGAAGATGAACTGCATCCTGGGCTGCATCGGGGTGGCCAGAATGGTGAAAGACGTGATTGTCTCCCTGCTCCTGTGAGGTCCTATCTGGATTGCTGCATCCAGGCCTGGGGCCTTCAGCACAAGAAAGATGCAAAGATATTGGAGTGGGTCTGAAGGATGGCTATGAAGATTTTCAGAGGGCTGGAGCACCTCTCCTATGAAGAAAGGCTGAGGGAGCTTGAGCTTGTTTAGCATGGGGAAGAGAAGGCTCTGGAGCCATGTACTGTACTTAAAGAGAGGCTATGAGCTGGAGGGAGATGGTCTTTCTACGTGGCCAGGTAATGTTAGGAGAAAGGGAACAGTTTTAAGCTAAGGAAGATGTATGTTAAATGTTAGCAGAAAATTGTTTTACTTAAAAAGCGACTAGGCACTGGCACAGGCTACCCAGAGATGTTGTGGATGCCCTATTGATGGAGCTGCTGAAGACCAGGTTGGATGGGGCCCTGGATAGTCTTATCTGGAGGGTGGCATCCCTGTCCATGGCAGGAGAATTGGTGCTAGGTGCTATTTGAGGTCTCTTCCAAACCAAGCCATGCATGACTCTATCGAAAGATCTCTCTGTATTTCTATATACATCTTTCATTTAGTGACAATATTTGTGGTCATGCTAGGTTAGGTCTCTCTAAGCATCCTGTCACTATTGGTTTTGAGCACTTACAAATATCAATAGATAGCATTTAAGTTTTCTGTCTCTGCTGAGAGTCTTTCAATGTATGACGTAGCAAATATTTATGAAAATTCTGTATGTGGAGACTGAGTTTGGAGCTACTTATTATCTGGAGACTTTGCACAAATTGAAGAATAAATACAAAAATGAGTAATACAAACAGACATAGAGATGAATAAGGGCTGAAAAAGCCATTATTTACTATTGCTGGAAAATGCTTATGTTGTGGTTTGCATCTAGTTTTGTATATACAATGAAGCATAAATATTACTTAAAATGTAGATCAGACTTATAACAAGCAGAAGAGGGAAAGGAATATGATATAAGTGATAATGCAATATAGTGTGCTGCACAAAGATGTTGACGTAGTCTACCTAGACTTCAGCAAAACCATCACAGTGTTCTCCTGGAGAGGCTGACAGCCCACAGCTTCAATAGGTGCACTTTTTGTTGGGTAAAGAACTGGCTGGATAACTGGGCCCAGAGAGTGGTGGTGAATAGAGTTATATCCATCTGGCAATCAGTTACGAGTGGTGTTCCCCAGCGGACTTACTGGGGCCTGTCCTGTTTGATATCTTTATTGATGATCTGGAAGAGGGCTCTGAGTGCACCCTCAGGAAATTTGCAGATGACACCAGCTTGGGAGGAAGTGTTGATCAGCCTGGGGGTAGGAAGGCCCTGCAGAGGGACCTGGACAGGCCAGGTTGCCAGGCTGAGGCCACTGGGATGAAGATCAACAAGACTAAATGCTGGATCCCATGCTTTGGCTACAACAACCCCATGCAATGCTACAGGCTTGGAGCAGGGTGGATGGAAGACTATGTAGAAGGTGGCCAAGAAGACCAATGGCATGTTGGCTTGTATCAGAAACAGTGCTGCTAGGAGTGGCACAGAAGTGATCCCTATGTACTCACAACTGATGAGGCTGCATGTCCAGTACTGTGTTCAGTTTTGTACCCCTCACTGCAAGAAAGACACTGAGACACTGGAGCATGTTCAGAGAAGGGGAGTGAAGCTGGTGAAGGGCTGGAGCACAAGTCTTATGAGGAACATCTGAGGGAACTGGGATTATTTAGTCTGCAAAAGAGGAGGCTTAGGGAAACCTTATTGCTCTCTCCAACTACCTAAAGGAAGGCTGTGGTGAGGTGAGGGACAGACTCTCTTCCCATGTAACTAGTGATAGGACTAATTGCACCAGGGAAGATTCAGGTGGGATATTAGGAAAAAACTTCTTCCCCAAAAGAGTGCTTTTGTATTGGAACAAGATACCAAGGCAAGTGATGGATTCAGTGTCCTGGAGATGTTCAAGAAACATTTAGATGTTGTATTAAGGGGCATGATTTAACAGGAAATATTGGTGATAGGTGGATGGTTGGACTAAGTGGTCTTGGAAGTCTTTTCCAACCTTGGTGATTCTATGATTCACCTTATTCAGCCACTACATAATGGTGATTCTTATTTATATCATTACTGTAGGACATTCCAGACTAATTTCTTTTTTTAGTTTCTGCCTTTTTAATGTGGCCTGAAAGGAAATTATTAAGATCATTATGGATTTCTAATGCTATTTAGACATTTCTGCTTAGTTAAGATATATTCTGTTCAAACTTATGTGAACTGGTATGTCAGCATGCATAGGTATGCATATGTCTAAATGTATATAATTCAAGCTTACATGGTTCTTTTCAAAAGACAAACTTTATCAGAAGTATTATTTTAAGCAAAGTGTTACTAAATACCATTGTTATCAAAATTAGTTTTAAATGTTTTATTCTGATTCTTCGTTTCAAGGGAGGTTGTCTTCCAGAATTATTCTGTGCCAATTTAGGTATATATTCTTCAATCCTTAATGCAGATGTTCAAAGGTATAGAACTTCAAAAACTTCAAGTTCTAAGTACATATTCATCTTTTTGTCTCTGCACAAGTTCTTATCTCAGGGGCTTTTTAGTAGAAGATAAACACCAAAATGAATCTAAATGTCGTGACTACATATGTAGAACCCATACTTGCAATGGTTATGATAATACAGTGGTTGTGATAACAGGTTTTTGCTTCCTATGTGCATTGCAGGAAGGAAATAATTATGGTAGAAATAACTA